AGCCTAGACAAGCTTTGGACAATCTTGGACACTTGGACAATTTTGGACATGGACAAGTCAAAAAAGGCTTTAGACAGCCAAAATATACAACACTGACTCCGCCTACAACTGTACAATTACACAATCTAGCATAGGTTGGGATGTACCTATTGGAATGCAGATGCATTATCCAGAACAGAGAAGAAAGCCATAAAAGTATATATAGCAATAGAGGAAAGTAAAAAAGAGGAATTAAAAAGGGAAAAGAAGGAAAAACTAGTGAAGAAAAAGAAAATCAACTTGCCTATGCATGAAGAGGTATTGGAACCAGGAATCTGATCGACTCTTGTACTAGTATACAAAAAGTTAGGAACTACTTATCAGAGAAATTTAGAATATGTAGACCCCAGTCGATCCTATAGCAACACCTACCAAGGTATTACCACCCGACCAACCTCGAACCCTTTCACTCTTTTTGGTAATTCGTCTCGATCTTCTAGATCCTCTTTTAGATTTTTATTTTTTTTTTATTAACTTATATAGTGTTCTATATATCCAGACCACTCGTAATACTTTTTTAGTAGTGTAACATTAAATGGTGTCGCTAGGACCTTTCCTTCTATGGTTCGTAACTTATATATATCCTCTTTTAGTATCTGATGGATGTAAAATGGACCATCCCATTTTGGTTCTAATTTCACGCTTCAGTTGTATTTTTTTGAAGCACGGTACAACAGGACTTTATCACCTATAGACAAATCGGGTAAAAAACGGGCATTTCAGTCGTACCATTCTTTTTGTTTTTGTTGAGTCTCTTGAATTCTTACCACAGCCTCATCGTGCATTACCGGTAAGTCTTCTAACAATTGGAACATTCTTTGTAGTATGGTCCCTGCTAATATGTCTTCTGATTTAATGGGTAGGCAAGCTTCTCTTTCATGTGTCAAGAAAAATAGTGTGATTTTGGTAGTTGCATGCTTAGAGGTACGGTATGAAAATAATACTGCAGGTATGACAAGATCCCAATCACTAACATTATCTATTAACCTTGCAATAGACTCGCACAAGGTCTTGTTGTATCGCTCTACCAACCTATTGGTTTGTGGGTGGTACAGTGTTGATAGTAAGTGCTTTATCTTGAATTTTTCTAACAATCTATTGACTAGTTGATTTCTAAAGTGGGTGCCTCAATCAGATAATATTTTTATTGGGCATCTGTGCCTACATACAATGTCTTCGAATATAAAGTTGGCTACACTTTGGGCATTTGCTGTTGCGATCGCTTTAGCTTCCGGCCACTTGGTCATATTGTCAGTTGCTATGACTATATATCAGAAGTTTCTAGGAGTAATCAGAAGTGGGCCGATAATATCTATCCCCACTTTGTAAAAAGGCGCTATTACTAGTATGGGTTGTAAGGGTCCCTTATACTTATTCTTTCCTCTTCTTTGACAATTCTCATATAACTAGACGTATCTCTTAATATATTCAAAGGCTTGGGGCCAATAATATGTCTTACAAATCTTCTCAGATATGGTCTTGGCTCCAAAGTGTTTGCCTAGAAGATGATTGTGTGTTAACAAGAGGATGAGGTCAATTTCATACTTCTGGACTACTCTCAAAGGTTGGTCTTGACTTTTCTTATTTCTCTTATATATTAAACTATTTTTTAACAAAAATATTCTACTATTATTAATTAGTTGCTTCTTTTGTTTCTTATCTAGGTCATTGTCGACGTATCTGTTTTGCAAGTATCTTTTTAATCACTCATAGTCTTCTACTTTCATTTCAGATTTCTTCTGCCAGGACACCGACTACCTGGGCTAGATTAGATTTATTGTGAAGGAACTAAAAGAGATAGAAGAAAGAGGATTAATTAGAAAATCAAATAGCCTGTAGGCTTCACCTGTAGTTGTAGTTCTGAAGAAGAGTAGGAAGTTACGACTATGTATGAATTATAGAAAATTGAATGAAGTAACAAGAAAAGATTCTTACCTGCTACCCCATATAGACGATTTATTAGAGACTTTTAGCACCACAAATTGGTTTTCTAGCCTGGACTTGAAGAGCGGATATTGGCAAGTCAAGGTCGAGGAAGAAGACAAGAAGAAAACAGCCTTTGTAATGCAAGGAGGTCTTTACAAGTTTAATATTATGCCTTTTGGACTCTCAAACACACCAGCCACCTTCTAACGATTGATGGATCATATCTTAGAAGAGTATATTGGCAAGTTCATAACCATCTATATTGATGATATCAATGTTTACTTGCGCAACTTTGACGAGCATTTAGGGCACCTAAAGAAGGTTTTTAATAAGTTAGCAGAAGAAGGGATAAAGATTAATATAGAGAAATGTAAATTCTTTAAACCTACTATACACTTTCTAGAGCATATCATTGGATGGCAGGGTATAAAGCCTGATGAAAGTAAAGTGAAAAAAGTCAAGAACTACTCCATACCTAGTACGCTCTGCCAGTTGAGAGGATTCATAGGCCTAGTGTCATATTACATGAAATTTATTCCCAGGTTTGCCGCCATAGCAAGACCTTTGCACCATTTACTACAGAAAGAGGTTAGTTTTAAATATGAGCCAAAACTACAAGAAGCATTCGATATGTTAAAGAATCACCTGATTATAGCACCCATCCTCAAGTACCCCAACTTCAATGAAAAGTTTTACTTGTATACTGATGCATCTGGGACGGGATTAGGAGCTGTTTTAGCCCAGAAAGGTGAGGGTAAACAAGAGCACATAATTTTGTATGCTAGCCATAGTTTATCCAAAGCTAAAAGAAATTATTCAGCTTGTGAGTTAGAATGCCTAGTGGTTATTTGGGCAGTAGAATACTACCACTATTACTTCGGCTTTAAGCCATTTGTTATTATAACTGACCATTCGGCACTCAAGTAGCTGCATAGTATGAAGTTGAAGGGTAAGTGGGCCCATTGGATACTCCGCCCATTGTTGTCATGGGACAGCTTTGGACAATACTTTGGACAATCTTGGACAATTTTGGACAATTAAATAAAGTAAAATTAC